GGCTTGTGAGCATTTTTTCCCACAAGAGGGCGCCCCAGCCTCACTCCTCCCACCCGGGCCTGGGGAAGAGGGAGGCTCCATCAGAGTCCACCTGTGTGGTGGTGTTTTAGGCGAGCAGAAACCTCACCCTTAGCACTAGACAGAGACAAGACAGCTGAGATGTAAACAGATGAACATGGGACAAGGGAACAATGGAGGATGAGGAGAAGCAGGACAGGGACGGGGCCAGAGAGAGAGAACGGGACTTGCTGGCGTCACAGCCGCGTGCCTAGAGATCCATGAGGAAGTGAGACTGGGGTGAGGTCACACAAGGGTCCTGTTACCTTGAGGATGAAAGCGATGCTCTATTTCACAGGGGAAAAACTCTCCCTGTGAGTATCTCAGAGCCTGCACAGTGGTCAGGGAACAAGGTGCCAGAAACCAGATTGAGGTGGGTCCCAAATGTCTGCCTGAATCTGGCCATCAGCCCATAGGCTCTAGAGAACCATGAAAGAAAGGTCTTTGAAACTGTGAAGTTGTATTTTGTCATGATTCATCCGGCAGACATACACAGGAGAAATCTAAATATATATACATCCATGGAAATACATGCAAAGAAATGTTTGGGAGTATGTTCTCTGGGGGAAATCCTAGGGGAGATGATTGGTCTGGGGGCTGTAGCTCCCTCCTTGTTCCCCTTTTATGGAGTTTCTCCCTCCATCTCTTCCGTGAGACCCGAGCTAGTTTCCAGGTGGCACACTCCATCGGTTCCAGGAATAAGAACCTGGGTCTGGAGAGAGAAGCGGGCACAGCTGAAAAGCCTCTACTGTGAGATACCGCCTCACCAGGGGCTCGAATCTGAGGGTCCTGCTCTGGAAACAGGAGGGGCCTTGGGGTGAGAAAGGGTGCAGCTTCCACCCGGCTGGTGTGGTTCAGTGGATTAAGGACCAAGAGGTCGCTGGTTCGATTCCCAGTCAGAGCACATGCCCAGGTTGTGGGCTTGAAACCCAGTAGGGGGTGTGCAGGAGGCAGCGGATGGATGATGTTTCTATCTCCCTCGCCCTTCCTCGCTCTAAATTAATGTTTTAAAAAAGAAAAGGGTGCATCTTCCTCTGTGCCCACCTCCTAAGCCACCCATGTAGCTGTTCTGAGAAGCCAAGCACAGAACCACAGTAACAGACCCACTGTGGGTCTGGACTCTTGGGGTAGGGGAGGTTGGGGCAGTAGGAAGGCATCCTGAGGGAAAAGGGGAAAGTGAACCATTTGGAATCACTAACATCTAAAACTTCCCCTTCCCTGCTGACTTAAGTAGCTCCACAGCACAGAGCCCCAGCCCCCAGGCTGTGCCCTGAGAACAGCAGCTATGCCTATTACCCACCTTGCACCAAGCACAGGCTCCAGCCGAGAGCACTCAAGTGTTTGCTTGAGCATGAATGGGAGGATGAATGGATGAGCATAAGCGGCTGTCCTGGTTCTTGCATAAACTGAGGGCCCTATGGGTCCTGCAGGTCCAGTGGCCCTACCCATTAGCTTAAAAGGCCAGATACTGAACAGGGCTGGGCTGAAACTAGAAAGGTCACTGAGGGCCTGTCTGTCCCTTAATTGGGGAGTGGCACCCAGCTGCTCAGGAAGACAGGCCAGCGTGTGGCCTAATACAAAACCTGTAGTCCTGGCTTCCAAGCCGGTGGCCATCCTGCATCTGCTCTCCTCTGCTTTCCTCCTGCATGTGTGGTATGCTAAAGGGTGTGTGTGGTTCTGGAACTGCCAGGTGGGGTGGTGGGAGAAGCTAGACTGGGAGGCAGGAAAGTAGAGCAGCCTTGCCCATAGTCTTTATGCCTTAGAGCAAAACACTCCCTTTCTCTGTGCTTCAACTTCCTCACCTGTAAAATGGAAGAGGAGGTTGGACTATGTTCCATGCTGACATTGGGGCCCCTGCGGAAAACCAGGCATTGACTTGCTCTAAGGTCATGAAGACAATGGCTGAGGGGCACCTGGCTTCACTCACTGACGTCCCTCCAAACGCCTGCAGGGGTTCCCACTCACCCAATCCAAACAGAAGCCAGAAGGTGAGGGAACCCACGGACGCTGTCCAACTGACCAAAGGGTGTGGGTGGCTGGGTGATGGTCAAGGAGGCCCAGGGGAACTGCCTCAGGAGCTCACACCCCTTTCCTGTCAGCCCTGGAATATTCCCAGTGCCATGGTCTGTCCAGCCCCCTTCCCCTCACAAGGCTGGGCCCTCAGCTCCTCTGTTCCTCAGGGAACACGTTGAGGTCAGGCAGGTCGGGGAGCAGGGCCTGCCATCCTGGAGGTGGCCCACTGTGGGGAGGCCTTGCATGGGTGGACAGAGGCAAGGTGGGCTGCAGCTTCCTGGCTCCCTCCCTACTTTGCAGGAAAGTCTTCCCCCATTTTTAGCTTTCCCATCCAGGGTCCCTTTCTGGCACTTTCTCTAATCTTACTCTGAGGGATACCTACATGCTGGCAGAGGGCTCGAGATAAAAAAGGCTCTAAGGCCTCAGGAAATGGAGCTCTGCAGGGCACAGGCCTGAGAGGCAGGGAGGAATGAAAGGTCGAGGGGCAAGTGAGCCTGGTCCCTCCTGAGACCTCCAGGTCACGGTGAAGCGAGAGCATTCACCTCACACTGATTCCCAGGAAAGCTTAGCGTCAGGCCTGGAAACCTGCTCACCTGTGAAGGTTCCAGAATAAAAGTCACACCCTGGAAAAGTCTGGCCTGGCAGCAGCACTCACCAGCAGCCCAGTTGGAGTGCTGGGTGCCGAGTATCAGCTCTATCCCAGCAGGTAGAGTCGGCTTCAGGCCAGGGCTCAGGAGCAGCTGGGCCCCCAGTGCCGCAACAAGCAGCCACTTAGCACCAGCCTCACGCGTGTGTGCGTGGGAATGAGAGAAAGAGAGAGAAGTGGGCTGGGAGGCCATGCCCCTGTGAAGACGGCCCCCTCTGCCACAGGGAAACTTCAGTGCTGCTGGGAAGGGATCCCTGAGCAAAGAAGTCCCCAGTCTTCCCAGGTGCCTAAAATCCTTTCAGAAAGGAAAGAAGCCTCCCAACCGGAAGGTCGGGATTAAACACTTTGGAAAGTAATAAGGTGCTTTCTGGAAAGAGCATGGGTCAGGGAGTTAGTTGGGACCTGGCTACTTTAACGAGATTTGAGGCTTATCACCCCAAAGTTCAGTCCAAACTTGACTGTTCACCAAGGCCCTTCTGTGGAGGCCTCACTCTGGAAAAGGCTCCAGTTCAGCTGGAGAGCCCCCTGGAGGGGTGGCTTCGGGGCCTCCCTCCCCTTCCAGCTCATCTTAGCCCTAGTCTGAGGCCTGCTCAGTAAAGCATGAAGGAGGCCCCCCAGGGAAGCCGGGGGGGAGGGGGCTTTAAATTATGGAGCAGCTTTCTTAGCCCCTCTCAGAAAGGCCCAGGCACCCAGCTAAATAATTCACCGCCTTGGGAAGACCTGGTGGTTCCTGACACAGCTAAAGTAGGTCAGTTACTGCCCTGGCCCCAGGTGGGGGCTGTAGGGCTCAGAGCAGCTTCCCCACCAGCACCAGGAGGGGCTGCAGGCTGGCAAGGCCTCGCTCGATTGGCAAGTGTCCAGCTGATTCAAATACAGCATTGAAGTGAGGGGTAGACAAGAAAGCACCAGCACCCCTCCTCTTGCCAGTATGCACACAGCTACCAACTCAGTCCTCCCAGAGCCGCCCTCAAGGGTCTAGATGATCCACCTCGTGACACCAGTTACCTACAGGGCCAGGCTCCTCCACCCTCATAGCACCTAGGGGTGCTGTGTCTTCTCTTCACATGCAGGTACCAGCTGGAGCTACAAATGTCACCTTCAGCCTTTAACAGCTGATGCAGTCCTAAGCAGAACACTGCAGACCCATGTTGCCCAGGGCAGGCCTGGGATTCAGGAGTGAGGCGGGGAGTGGAGAGGGGCACCAAAGTCACACAACGTGCAGGTGAGGAAGCGACCAGGGCCAGCCCCAGGGCCAGGGAGCCTCCGGGGCCTCCCCTGCCCTCTCTTTCTAGGCATTGCTTCTGAGTCAAGCAGTGAAGAGTATGGGGGAGGGGGGATGTAGACAGAAAAGAGAAACAGCAAAGCCACCAGGTCAGAGCTCCAACCCTCCAGGAGCTGGAAAGGGTTTCAAACCACATCACAGAGGAGGAAACTGAGGCCCAAGGCACAAAGGGGAAGCAGCAGGGCCAGCTGCAGGTGTCCCGACTGGGTCTGGGGCAGCCCAGGGTCTTGGCACACCAGTTCCCTGACCTTCACACCCATGTGCTCTGGCTCCCAGCAAAACCTCCTCTCAGGAATCAAAGCTGTAGTTGGGGGCCCAGCAGGGCAGGTGAGCTTAACTATTTCTGTACCATACTCCTGGGTCCTCTCCCCTCTAACAGCCTTGTAAGACCTGCCCCACGGATGCTGCCCAGAGGAGCCCAACCTCCCAGACCACAGTACTTCTCTACTAGAGGCCTGAAAATTACACAGGCCATGAAGGGTTAGGCCAGTGGGTAACAGGACCTGGAGAAAATGAAGGTTCCCCTGAGTGCTTACTGTGGGTGCACAGAATCTCCGGCTCTGTCCTCATAAATTGGAAAATGAAGTGAATGAATGAAACACAGATGGTGCTCAGCCAGTGTGGCTCAGCCGGTTGAGCTACCATGCACCAAGAGGTTGCCGGTTTGATCCCCAGTAGGGGCGTGCAGGAGGCAGCCAATGGGTGATGGATGTTTCTCTCCCTCTCCCTTTCTCTCTAAAATCAATAAAAACGTATTTTAAAACACATTAAACACAGATGGGCTAACAGATAGTCCCCCCACCCCGCCAATCCTGATATATGGCACTTGGCAACACACTTCCCCTCCAGACTTCAGTTACACAAAAGGGAAGGAGGGACAGGCTGTAAGAGCTCTTAGGCCCAGACCCACTTCACTTCCTCCCCCCTGAATTCTCCTCTGTCCTCTAGTTATTCCTGCCCAATAGCAGGCTACATCCCACAGAAGCAAAGGTCAGAGAGCAGTTACTTTGGATGATTTTTTATTTTGCATTTCATTTATCATCCAGTTTCACATTCTCACAGGATCAGCAATTACAACAGCCACCTCGTCTCCCAAATCTGAAAACGGCAAGACAGCCACAGCTGTGGCCAAAGGCAAAGCACTGATGTGCTCACGAAACAAAAAAATTGCACAATTTTCCCTTCATTTTTCTTAAACTAACGCCTGACACAAAGGCTCATGGCTGGAGAATGGAAACCCTTTTCTTCTTCATGCCTCAAACTAAACATTAAACTCATCTGACAGGGCGAACAAGGTCTCTTCAATAATTAATTGCACACACACATGAAAAATCCTTTATGATGCATAAATATTTTGTTACACAGGGTACAAAAATACTTTCACTTTTTGGTTGGTTTCAGTTTGGAAAGAAAGAGGAGCAATGGCAGGGGTGGGGTGTGCTGTGGAGAGGTGAGCAAAACGGGCAGAGAAGGGGTGTTCTGAACAGTTGTTGGCCCATCTGAGGAAGGAAGCGGAGGACCCTGATTCAAAGTAAAAAAGGAAACTCTCTTTGTTGGGGGGTCGCTGCTGTTCAGCTGGGAAGTGTGTGGGGCAGTGGAACTGGCTGCAGGGCTCGGGCCTCACCGAAGCAGGGTGGGTGCAGGGGAGGGGTGTGGAGAGCAGGACCAGGAATGATGAACCATTAAAGGCCAGGACCTGTTGCTATGGTGACACAATGTGAGAACAAACTGTACACTCACATATACACAAGTTTAAGTGTCTTAATTCATGCCAGAAAACATGCAAAATCAAACGCCTTGTTTCTCTGAGGTGAAGCTACAAAAGCAAGTCTGGACCGGAGGTGGGGCCTTGCTCGGTCCCAGTGAGGCCTGCAAGCTGGGTGTGGGTGTCCCAGCGAGAAGGCCCCCGACTCCTCCTGGGAGGCCTTGGAGAAGGGCTCTGGGGCAGGACAGGGCTGAGGAAGAGGAGAGAAAGGAAACAGGAAGCAGTCCACTGAGTCAGGCTTAAAATTCACAGTCTTTGGAGGAAAGCAGCAGCTCTCCACAGGCCGCTTGGGGACAGTGGAAGCTCTGGGCAGCTTCCTCCCCAGCGGGGGGCAGGGGCTTCAGGCTGTGGTAACAAGACCTGGAGGGAGCGGAGAGAGGTGGCTGTGAGCAGAGGTCTGGGGCTAGGAGCTAAACCCAGGCCTTCCCCTTGTGAGGAGTCTGCAAGACAGATGGCAGGGGTGGGTGACAGGGTGGGAGGAAAAGGGGGAAAACCAGCCAGAGTACCCAGTGCACAAGCTCAGGTGGAGGCCCCGCCTCAGCTGGCTCTTGGGTTCAGTGAGGGGGGACCAGGACCCTGCGGGAAGCCCGGGTCTAGGACACCCAACCTGGACCCCTGGGCCAGCACTTACTGAAGAACTAACAGAACTGACGGTATTTCCATCCTTGCTGGGTGGTGTCAGAGGAAGGGTACCAGCGCACCTGCGAGAAGAGAAGCCAACGTCAGGATCTAGCCATGCAGTCCCTTCCGCCCACAGGGAGCCCTGTAAACATGGCCTTCTGTGTCCCTGTTGGAGGCCTGGTTCTGTCATTGACAGGAAGGTGTTGGCCAGTTACTCACTCCTAGGCATCAGTTTCTTCATCCTGAAAATGGGAGAGTACCCCTGACCTGCCTCCTCTGCAGGGTGAAGGTTCAAAGGAGAGAATGGTTATCGTGTTTTACACTCCACTAAACCCGACTGGAAGGTGCCAGGTTGCACCAGATGGGAGTCTTGGCAGCCAGAGGCACCAGTGCCAACGATCTGCCCTCTACCCTTTACTGGGAGAGTGCAGAATTCTCAGTAGGAGAATAAACCCAATGAATTTTTACTCAGCATCTCAATCTGTCCTCATCCAGCTACAAGTCAAGGCAGCCCTAAGTAGTGAGGCAGACCGTGAGCACACATTAGAAAGCACAGTCAGTGTGTTCTCCAAGGGTTAAGGACTCCAGGCACTTTCCTGCCCTTGTGTGATTCTGTAAGGAAGCCATGGGCGAGACCCAACTGCTAACGTCTTCCCTATTTCCACCTCTCTCCCCCTCCTGTTCCCTCCATTACCACCCTCCTAAGTCTAGAGATTTGTAACCTACCAGCTGAGCACTTGAGTGGGAGCCTGGCACCTACAGAAGCCCCAGCATTTGCCAGAAGGCCCCACAGCACAGTAGCCCCAAAGCAGGATTCCCAGAGACTGGTCAGGAAATGACAAGCATCCCCTTCCCCATGCACTGGTCATCTGGATGATAAGCCGTGCTGGGGGCCAAGCCAAGATTGCAGGGAGAGCCACCTGCCCCAGTCACAGGCAGGACATCTACCCCAGCCTGACCCTGGCTGCCTGGGTGAGGGTGGGGGCAGGGCATTACAGGACCCTGAGTGAGGGGGAGATTGCCGAGATGGGAGCCCAGGATTCCCTTAGGAAAGGAAGGAATAGCACATGAGAGCCGATGCAGACACGAGTAGCAGCTGGGCACACAGAAAAGTCCCTTACAGCTGCAGCAGTCAGACCCAGTTACCCACTTGGCCACCTGGGATCCCTGCCTCCTGGGGAAGCGGAAAAGATATCAAGCAATGTCAGGTCATGTGGGGGCTGATGGAAGCTTTCTGAGAACGTGCTCCTATGTCCCCTCCAAATGCTGGGTGCTGTTTTGTATAGTGCAGGACTCTGACCACCAGCGCTCAGTAGGAAGTCAGGGGCTAGTCACCCTAAGATGCCAGGATCTTGGCATATGGCATGTAGCAGGGCAAAGTCTTAGGTCACCTGACCAATGCCAGGATCTTCTCTGGGCTCCAGACATGTGGCACTGCTGTCACCAGGACACAGTTGTCCCCAGGCTGCTAGAATTGCCTTGATCAAGCCCCACACCATGCGGAAAGGGTCAGAAGGCTCTTCTAGCCTTTGAGCTGTCCAGCCTCAGGGGCAGCAGACCTTCTTTCCTGCCTCCTAAACATCTGGAAGCGGTTCCCTCCCTCCCTCCCTCCCTGGCTGACAGCTGAGTGGGAGGAAGCCTCTCCTCCCCTTTGCTGAGCATGGATGCCCTCTCAGTCGGACACTAGAGCTCAGTCTACAAGGACAGGGAAACCAACACCACTGCTACCAGAGAAGCCTGTGGTCCAGCTCAGGGAATCTCGATAGGCCCTGACCACCACCCTTCACCCAGCCTCCAGCTGGAAGTGCCTGCGAGCTGGGTGCCCTGCAGGGCTGGAGGAGGGGACATCGGGTGAGAGTGGGAGGGACTCTGGAGGCCTCCCACTGGCCCTCTTGCACCACTGGGAAGCCGAGGCCTCCTGCAGCTGCGTAAGGGCTCCCTCAGAGAGTCCGCCTCATCCGGCCCCACACTCTCCCCACAAGCGCCGGAATTCCTGCCTCCAAAGCAGCACTTTCCCCCTTAGCCTGAGATGAGTTGGCTGCCTTCTTGGGGAGGAAGTGGAGGAAAGACCCCATTTCTAAGCTCCAGACAGCTGTTCCTCTAAAGTGGACCAAATGTTCTCGAGTGGCTGCATTTCTGCTTCCCTCAGACACTAGCATAGGGTGGCGGTCCGGGTCCTCTAAAGAAGCCCGGTCCATGGCTGGCCGAGCGTGGCTCGGCGGTTGAGCATCGACCTAGGATACAGGAGATCAAGGATCGATTCCCAGGCAGGTACATGCCCAGGTTGAGGGCTCGATCCCCAATGACTCACTCATCATTGGTGTTTTTCTCTCTCTCCCTCTTCTTTCCTCTCTCTGAAATCAATAAAGATATATAATAAGAGTTTAAAAAAAGCAGCATGGTCCAGCCTCGGCCGGGTGGCTCAGTTGGTTGGAGCATTGTCCTGTACACCAAAAGGTTGCGGGTTTGATTCCCGGTCAGGGCACATTCCTAGATAGCAGTTTCAATCCAGTCAGGGAGCGTATGGGGGGCAACTGATCGATGTTTTTCTCTCTCTTTCTCCCTTCCTCTCTCTCTAAAATCAATAAACGTATCTTTGGATGAGGTTTAAAAAAAAAAATCTCTAGGGAAGCATGGTCCATTCCTGTCCCAGCTCAGAATAAGAGACCCCCCAGGCCCAGGGCTCAGAGCCAACACATCAGGGAGCGGGTGGCTAGTCCCTTCTCAGGGCCTCTCGTTGCTCACAGGGGACTTGGGGTCTGGAGAGGCTACCCACAGGGACAAGCCCATGGATACTAGAATGAACCAGGCTCCAAGAGGACCAGCATTAAAACAAGAGGGGGCATGAACTCAGTGTTCTCTCACACCTTGGGACTGACTGAGAAGATATGCCAAGAAGTGGACAAAGGAATGAATCCACACGAGGAAATATAAACAGCCAATAAATACAGAGCCTCACTCACAAGAAAGTAAAGTAATACTCGGTCTTACTTAACCCAGACGGGCAAGTCTACACTTTGACCTTATAACATTTCTAGGAACTTATGACAAGGAAAACTAGGACAGGTGCCCAGAGAGGTGTGAACAGGGGTGTCCATTGCCGCACAGCCTATCAGGAGCAGAGACTTGTGTAAACAACCTACTTAAGGCCTACAGGGAGCTGGGCACACTTACACAACGGTGGGCTGGCCAGGCCTCGAGAATGGAGAACTACATTTACTGATGTGGACAAATGTCCTGATGTTTAAGTTTTAAAATTATTGAATGTGTATATAGCAACTTTTGTAAAAGATTCCTATCTATGGATTTAGTTATACACCTGCACCCAACTACCTACCAAGTCTAAGGACTAAAAGTAGCCGTTTTCTGGGGAGCAGGATGATTAGCCAAAGGGAAAAAAGAAATGAGCTGGCCCATTTACCTCCCCATAAATGCAGACCTCTAATAGCTAACGCTTATGAAACCCTTAGCATGTGCCAAGTGCTGTTCTAAGTAGTTTTCATGGACTAAGTTAATTTAATTCACATAAAACCCTATGAAGTTGATGCTTTCACCATTCCATTATACAGATAAGAAAAAAGCCGGGGGAGTGCAGGAGGCAGCCGATCAATGACTCTCTCACCATTGATGTTTCTCTCTCTCTCACCCTCTCTTTTCCTCTCTCTGAAATCAATAAAGATATATTTTTCAAAAAAAAGAAAACAGCCCGGCTGGGCGTGGTTCAGCGGTTGAGCGTCGACCTAGGATCCAGGCAATCGGGGTTCGATTCCCGGTCAGGGCACATGCTCGGGTTGCGGGCCCGATCAATTACTCTCTCATCATTGATGTTTCTATCTCTCTCTCTCCCTCGCCTTTCCTCTCTCTGAAATCAATAAAGATATATTAAAAAAAAAAAGAAGAAGAAAACAGAGGCAAGGGAGCGCATGTAATTTTAAGGTCATCAATAAGTGGCTGAGCCAGTTTAAGGAGGGGTGGGGGGAGCCACAGTGAAATAAAAAACGAAGTCCAGTCTGGGAGGACCCTGGGACACAAGAGGACATGAAGCATCCCTGCTTTTAGGCTACTCTCTTTATGGGACAGACCCCAGTGTGCCTCTGACACCCACATCTCTTGCATGTCCCACCCTCTTAAAGGAAAAGATTCCATCAAGAGGGTCAGAAGGTCGAACAAGATGGCCTTGTGCCAAGACAGAGTGGGGTGAACGTCTCCTAGCCCCTTCCTGCAGGTGGGGTCCCTGTGGCTCTGGCTGAGCTACCTGCAAAGGGCATGCAGTTGGGGCGTGCCCATCTGGGTAAAGGAAGGACTGCTTTTCATCCCCTCTGGTCTTAGCTGCCACCTCCTTGCCCGCAGGCACAGAGAAACTCAGTTTTGTTGGTCCTCTGGGTTCAGAATAACCCCCTTAGGACCAACACTGTCCACTTCCTTTAGGCATTTTCAACCTCCACTTCTGGGCAGCACTGTGGAAGGTGCAGGGAGGGGGGCTCTGGAAAGGAAATGAAAAAATACTACTATTTGGAAAACGCTCTCATGCCTGTTACTGCATTTGATCTGAACAACATGTTTTTAGCGTTGAGAACACGGCTTTCCAGAGAGTGAGGAGCGGGGACAGAGCTAGTTACTACCTGGACCAATCTCTTGTCGTTATCTCCCTCCCCCAAAATGCCACTATCCTTTGTGGCCTTCATTTCCTTCCCTGGGAGGCCAGACGACCGGAACTCAGGCATGATGAGGCCTCCAGCCTCAGAGGGAAGCAGGAGGAGGAAACCAGACAATGATGATATTAAATAACAGCCATGATAACCGGCACTTCTATAGCCCTCAGGGGCAGGTGGCAGTGCAGCACTCCCAGCCAGCTGGGGGGCCACCCCAAGAAGGGCAAAGTCACCTCTCCTTATTAATTTGACACACTCACTGTCCCTGGCTCCCAACCTCTGCCTTGTCACAGTCACGGCCTAGCATCTCAGGGCAGATGAAGCAGAACCTTTCACCTGGTCTTGTCCAACCCTCTCATTTTACAGATGAAGACAGAGACCCAGAGGTGTAGCCACCTGTTGAAGATCAGGTAGCTAACTGGTGGCAAAGCTGGGACCAGAGCTGAGGACCCCAGCAGTTTAACTCCCCACATACCGTGTTCCTGCCCACCTTCCACACTGTGCCAGGTCAAGAGACGACAGGGACAGTGTTCCCTGCTAACTGCTCCATGCCCCCCAACAGAACCTGGTTTGTGGTAAATACCCAACACTTCCCTTGAGGGAGGATCTTTACCACCTTCCTACCCCGATCAGTTTTCCAGCTGTGTGTGCCGTGCAGCTGGGGAATAGTGCCAAGTTTACCCATACTTTTGCCCTCGGTACAATCTCAAGTTGCTGTGGCCAGGGAAAATTACTACCCCCTGGGGAAAACAGTTTGCTAGGGTAGCAGCCCTAGGATCTGAACCTTCCACCCTGGAGTTGGGCAGCCCAGAAGTCACTAAGCCCTCCAAAGGACAGGGATGAGCAAGAACTTAGCCCTTGGCCAGCACACCCGACTCCTCCCACTGCAGCTTCTAGTTCCTGTGAACTCTCCCTTCCTGGCTTCTCATTTCCTTTTCCTCCCCATCCCCTTCTACTGCCCTGGCCAAGTCGGGCAGCCTCTGTCCTCTCCCTCAACAGCACAGCACGCCCGGCCAGGTCCCTTTTCCCCACTAATCAGGCTGAGGTGAGCTCACCCCTGCTCCTCGGCCCTCCTGTGCTACCTGGCAGTGCCGCTCACACAGCCGGCAGTTGGCTACCTGTCACTGGCTCACAGGAATGGGCCGGTACCTGACCATCTGCTTGTCTGCCTCTTGAGCACCCGGCATGGCCCTCAGTGAGCAGAGTGCCCTCCTGGGCAGCTCTACCCTCCCTGACTCTCCTACATGTGCTCGTGTCTTCCTGCCCCAGCGCAGGTTCAGGAGGCAGAGCACCCAGGCTTCCTGAAAACAGGCACACTCGCTGAGCACTCGGGACACTTGTCCCAAGTACAGTTCTAGCACCTCTCAATCCGGAGGTAGATAATATAGTCTCCTTTTCCAGATGACTAAAAAAAAAAAAAAA